ATCAGGTGCACAAAGTGGTTCCCTTAAACAATGTCAGTCATTCTTCTTCAGCAAAAGTCTCCCATTTGATATCTGAATGTTGATTAAGTCAGCACATCACTCTTGTGATCTGTTGTTGCTTTTCCTCATGTTTACGTGTAATAATACAGTTCCACAGTATAAAACTATTGTTCTTTTCATGGTACATATACAAAACCAAAATAAACTAAAAGATATGGCTCATTATGGCTACTTTTAGTTTATATCGTTCTTCTCTTAATTTTCACAAGTGCATATGGCTAAAAATAATTAAGAAGGTTAGTCTCACTCATCCTTTCATGTCCTTTTAGTTATATCTCGCCCCATGCCTTCTTTCCTGCTAAAACCTCTCATTCTTGATGGACCATGTGGTGCACAGGTGGTCACCATTTTGTTGTATACACCTACGCTGTTACCACACGTGGGCGGCAGTAATGGCGTCAAGTGCTCTCTAAGTGCCCAAGTGCTTTGATTTCTCTTCTCCTTTTCTGCAACTGCGCTCTAGTTGTATTATATATTAAAATACCCGCTTTCTCATGAAAAGTATCATGGAAAAAAGCCGCTGTCTGTAGTATATTAAATAAAAAAGTTATTTCAATTCAAAGTTGACAAAGTCAGTGTGGCTCTACTATAGTACTACATGCAAACAGTTAATAATACTCTTGATAATAATAATAACAATATGCTGAAGATGCAGCTAGCGCTCACATGATTGAGTACATGACAATACTGTACTAACACTGAAAATGCAACGGTTTGTACAACATTCTACCACAGCAGGAATTATGATAACTATCTCATGGAACGTTATACAGTACATATTATTCTTATCACTTCCTTGTGTTTAATAAATGCATCCAGTGCTTGATGTGTCTATATAAACAGTATACAACACAGTAATACTCATCACATGACCGACCACTTCAAAGACACCTGAAAGTAGAAAGGAAAATGGCTACTGAAAATCACGATGGAGATATTGCCCAAAATCCAGCCCAAAATCCTGATAATGAAATAAAGAGAGTAAATGAAAATTCTGATGATTTGTTGAAGAAAATTTGTAAGATAGATCTAATCATTATTCTTATCATCCATTTATTTATTCATAGGTTGCAATAAAACTTACGATGTTACATCATGGGTAGTGTTAACAGTTCTATCATTCATAACACTGCAATATGTACCTCACAAGAAACCAGAGAACAAAAAGTGGCCCTTAGTTCTTTATTTCCTGTATGCTGTCATTGGTACTACACTGTTAGGATTACTCATCAACACATATCCAACAGTAGTCACACTGCTTGACTGGTCTAGGTGTCCTATACAATACTTCAATGTCTGCTATCTCATGGTATTACACACTCCATCCTCAGACAGAAGTGAACTGCCTGATATTATCATGAGAGATACCAGTGATACAAGTAAATATAAAATCATTATATATTATTTTTGTTCATTCTTCTTTCTTTAAGATAGCATAAGTGATCCTACTACAGCTGATGAACTGGAGAGGTTCTCAGACTACGGGAAGTTGGTTTTCTTGTTTTCCACAGCCTCTGGAGCAATATCTTATGCTGTTCTACTTTTTTGTGTTCTTTGGCGCCGATATATTTGGAAATATTTAAAAAATAGGACGGGAGAACAGCAGCCATTACTGGAAAATGAACCAGATCCTCTCCATCCTTTTGATGATACTGATGATACAAGCACTAGACTAGAGAGGAGTGAAGGGATCAGGTTCTTGATATTCCTCATCATAAACATAGCTCTAGTGGTTGGAATGGCTGCAGTGTTCTTGAGTGGTCTCTACCTTCATCATAGCAATCCTGTTACAATAGACAACAACAGTACAAAAGATTGGACTGGTATATATGACAAGGTACAGATATCAGTAATAATTGTCTACTTCTATTCTCTTCTCTGCACTATATCAAGTTGCTTCATCTTCTCTAAAGTAATGTATGGCATACAGAATAAATGTGATAATCTTTTCACAAGTGATGATAATACCACCATTAGAGAGCGTATAGAAGAAGATCAGAAATTTGTTAAATTGGCTATTGGAACTCAAAGTCCGTTTGAGTGGTGGTTCTTCATTCATTGGGTAATGTACATCATCACTGCCTTTCTCTCTCTCTCGTTTCTATTTGATGCCATCAGTGAGAAGATACAAGGTTCTCTACCACACTAACAGGCCGGGATTAACTTCTCATCTCATGAGTTAATCTTCATTACTTTATTTGCTGCATCTAATT